GCCTGGGAGAGGCGCAGGTGCGGGACCCTGGCCGGGGTTCGAGTGCGGGAGGTCCACGAGCCTCCCTCTGCAGGGAGGCCGAGCGGGAAGGACGTTCCGGGAGGGCTCCGTGCCCCCCACAGCCATGGGCGTGTGGGTGCCTCGGAATGCTGTTTGCACACAGAGCCCCCGGCTGCTGAGAGCCCGGGGAAGATGGAATTTATTTTAACTTGCAAATTTGTTCTGAGACAAAATAACATGCGCCCATTGTGGAAAGGGCAAAGGGGCTGTAGACATTCAAAATTGCACAAACGCTTCAAAGAAACCTCTGGCCCACCATCCCCCACCCCCACCCCAAACTGGCCACTTCCGGGCCTGTGGGCCCCCACGCAGGACCCGAGGGGTCGCCGGCCTGAGACACCCCGTGTGAGCCGGGGCGCCTCTGGCCTCCCATTTCTTGGACGCTAATTCCGCTGCACGTTCCCCGTTTACTTAGAGAAGAGTTGGTTGTGCTATGGGGTATCTGGCGAACTCGCCATTCTCTTTGAGTCCTTCATGTTACTCCTTTATTTATTTTTATTTCTGGCTTGGGGGGCCACACCCAGCAGAACTCAGTATGAGTCCCGTATGGTTCAGGCCAGGCTATTGTGCTGTCATCCCAGGCCCTCTGTGATCGCATTTGTAACAAAGAGGCTCTTCTGGGAGCAGACCGGGCACTTGCCTTGCACAGGGCCCATCGGATTCCATCTCTGGCACAGCGTATGTGCCCCTTTGCCCCATCAGGATTGACCTCTGGGCACCGAGCCAGGGGTAAGCTCTCAAGGCCAGGTGGGGCCCTCCCCAAAAACACCAACAAATAAAAGACAGTGTTTGTTCTTCAAACTTCAGTGTTTTCCCCTTTGCAGATTCCTTGCTGGGTTTTGTTGTACAACCTCTGGCCCTCCTCAGATCTTTGTCTTCTGGCAGTGGTTGCTCTCTCCCTCCCCCACGGTCTCAGTCTGTCTCTGCTTCTGTCTCTTTCCAGTTACCTCTTTAAAATTGGCCTGGGGGCTGGAGCAATAGCACAGCAGGTAGGGTGTTTGCCTTGCATGTGGCTGACCCAGGTTCGATTCCCAGTATCCCACATGGTCCCCTGAGCACCGCCAGGAGTGATTCCTGAATGCATGAGCCAGGAGGAACCCTGTGCATTGCCGGGTGTGACCAAAAAGCCAAAAAAAAAAAAATTGGCCTGCATGGGCCAGAGCAATAGTACAGCGGGTAGGGCGTTTGCCTTGAATGCGGCCGACCCGAGTTTGATCCCCGGCATCCCATATGGTCTCCCTAGCACTGCCAGGAGTAATTCCTGAGTGCAGAGCCAGGAGGAACCCCTGAGCACTGCTGAGTGTGGAAAAAAAAAAAAACTTTTGGCCTTCTCTCTCCTCCAGCTCATGAGGCAGGCTTCCAACCGTGCAAAGGCAGCTGGGACTGAGAAGGGATCACTAAGCCAATGATGGTCGGAGGGGTCACTTGGGATGGGAGATGTGTGCTGAAAATGGACAAAGGACCAAATGTGATGGCCTCTCAGTATCTGTAATCTGTGCTGCAAACCATAATACCCATAAGTAGAGAGAAAGAGGGCATTTGTCTGCCATAGAGGCAGGAAGAGGGGTGGGATGGGGGTGGGGGACAGGAAGGGATACTGAGAACATTGGTGGTGAAAAATGTACCCTGGTGGAGGGATGGGTGTTCGATCATTGTATGACTGAAACTCAAACATGAAAGTTTTGTAACTGTTGCTCACAGTGATTCAACTTAAAAAAAAAATAGAACTTTTGGGATTGGAGCATCTCCAGGTGTGGCCTGAAAACAAAATAAAAAAAAATCTGCATGGAGGTTGGAGCCATAGCACAGTAGGTAGGGCACTTGCCTTGCACCTGGCTGACCTGGGTTCAACCCCTGCACCCCATACGATTGCCCCAGAGTAGAATAGGAGTCATCTGAGACAGGAGTATGCCCATAATCACCAGGTGTAGCCCCAAAACAAAAACAAACAAAAGCATTTTAAATCTGCCATGGGGGTGAGGGAGAAAAATTAAAAATAAAATCTGGGGGCTGGAGTGATAGCACAGCGGGTAGGGCGTTTGCCTTGCACGTGGCCGACCCGGGTTCAATTCCCAGCATCCCATAGGGTTCCCCAGCACTGCCAGGGATAATTCCTGAATGCAGAGCCAGCAGTAACCCCTGGGCATCGCCAGGTGTGACCCAAAAAGCAAAAATAAATAAATAAACAAAAATAAAGAAATAAAATCTGCCTGTGAAACTGAAAAGTGAACCCCATGTTTTTCCAACCATGCAATTGACTGTGCACCCCTGCCCTCCTCCCCCCGTCCTGCCCTGTCCCTCCAGACCACCTCCCCCAGGCCACAGTCTCCTGGTCACTGGCCCACACGAAGGATAACTTTTGATGTTCTGAAGAAGGGAGGGGCTTACCTTGAAGACCTCAACATAAATAACTTTAAAATGCCCTCTAGAACCTTCTGTTCTGCTCAGCCTGGCCTTGGCTCCCTTCTCTGCACTGTGGGGCTCCAGCCTTTCCGGCCATCAGAATGCAGGGCTCCTGCCACACCAGCCCTTTTCCAACAAAGGCCCTGAAGGCCGCCATCACTCGTCCTTAGGAGGCTGGGGAGGGAGGCCCTTTGTCATTGAGAACGCTCTGGGGTCTGAGCCTCTACTCCCGGGACTCATTAAGCTCCTGCTTCCAAACAAATCCCAGGCAGACCTGAGTGGAATCCCAGGCCATCTGCTCCCCCTGCTGCACCCTGCCAGCTCATCTTCTCTTTTTCAAGTTTGGTGCCCGGTGCCCAGTGCAGGGAGGGGCCCGGGCCTGGCCCGAGCGTAAAATGTACTCCAGCCATCCCCTACCCCCACCCCTCATCTCCCAAACCCTCCACAAGCAGAGGTGCCAGAGTGATCATATGGAGGCTAGGACCCTTGCCTTGCAAGCCACCCACCCAGGTTCCATCCTCAGCATCCCACTCGGTCCCCTTGAGCACTGCCAGTAGTTCCTGCATGCAGAGCCAGGAGCAACCCCGGAGCACTGCGCCAAACCCAAAAAAATCCTAGCAGAGCTGAAAGACCATTTGGGGTGCAGGGGATAGAACCTGGGTTGGCCACGTCAAAGGCAAACACCCCACCGCAGACCTATCGCTCCGAACACCCCCTCCCCCTTTGAATCCTGACAGAGAGGAGCTTGGGGGTCCAATGCTGGGGCGCAGGACCCCAGAGCAGCCAAACCGAGGAGCAAGAGAAAGTTATTAAAGTAGGCCACACCCCCATGTCGAGGCCACGCCCCACCCTAGACCACGCCCCTAGAGGCCATGCCCCAATGCAGGCCACGCATCTGTGAGGCCACGCCCTCTTGTGCATTACGCCCCTCTAGAGGCCATGCCCCAATATAAGTTGCACCCCATGAAGCCACGCCCTCTTATGACAGGCCCTTCTAGAGGCCACGCCCCTGTATAAGCCACGCCCCATCCTTCTAGAGATCACGACCCCTGGTCGAGGCCACGCCCTGGGCTGTGGAGCCAAGACGTCCCTGCTTCCGCTTTTGAGGCTTCTAGATCTTTCCTGATCCTCTCTGCTCCCCCTCCTTCCCAACTGGCTTCCACGTGTCTGGCCTCTCGGTCTCCTAGCCCCCGAGTGTGGCCGTTGCCTTGTGGAGGGAGCAGTGGGGTCCGAGCCCGCACAGACTTTGGGGAGCGCGGACCCGGCCCAGGGCCACCTGGGAGCAAGCGGGGCTTCGCTGGCCGGCGTGGGACCCCCAGATGCTCCATTTCCCTTCCCCCTCCCCTCGTCCCCCTTTCTCCTTCCAACAAAGGCTACCGCATTGCTGATCACAGATTTTATACCCAATTTTGTTTCTGCAAAAATTTGGGTGTGCCCATTCCGTGGCTTGCTTGCTTTGGGGACCACACCCGGCTCTGATCAGGGGCCCTTCTGAGTGGCCCTGTGTGGTGCTCCAGCTCCAGATGTCCTGTAAGGCTTGAATGGGGTGGGTCACGTGCAAGGGAACGCCTTACCTCCTGGACTATCTCTGGGGCCCCAAGTTTTGTTTTTTGGGTTTTTTTTTTTGCTTTCTGAGGTCACACCTGGCGATGCACAGGGTTTACTGCTGGTTCTGCACTCAGGAATCACCCCTGGCGGTGCTCAGGGGACCATATGGGATGCTGGGAATGGAACCCGGGTTGGCCGAGTGCAAGACAAATGCCCCACCCGCTGTGCTATTGCTCCAGCCCCCCAAGTTTTGTTTTTATTGAACAGCAGAGAGCAACAACTACAATGCTGGTAGTTCAATGCAGTAGTCACAGACTGGGGACCATCTGGGGAGGACCCCACTCCTCCAGGGAGCAGAGAGGGGCTGCCAGAGTTCAAACCTAAGGGACTTGGGGGAAAACAGAAGATTCGGGGTTGGCAGGAACTTTTCAGTGGACAGGGAACCTCCTACCCCCTGCAGACAGAGCGGCCCCTCCTCCAGCCCAGCCCCACTCCTCCCCTATATGCTTCCTATCCTCCACGCTAAAACGTTGATGTCAGCTCCTCATGTGGCCCTGGGGGGGGGGGGGGGGGGCAAGGCCGCAAGTCTGATCCTGAGTTTGCAGAGACCCCAGCTCCAGGAAGGAACGTTCTCTTCCCAGCTCTTCCTCTGAACCAAGTCGTTTTGTCATGATGTCTGCTTCCACCAGGAAAGGCGGGCCGAGAGTACGAACCAAAGGTGCCCCCAGAGTTCTCTCAGAGCACAGCCAGCCATGTCTGAGCACCATGACCAGACTCCAGGAGCATCACAACAGAAAGGTATGTGAGCACCAGCCTCAGAGTTGCGACTGGGGAGCACCCATGGGAGCACCAGAGTGACCCCCAGGGAGCACCTCCACCATGCACGTGTGATCCCCACACTATAGAGTGGACCCCCACGATCTGGGTGCAACACCCGCCTCCAAGAACATCAGCTATGGGAGGATGGGGAGGGGACAGTCACACCTCACCGATGGGTTCCCGGGAGGCAGGGTCAGGCCGTGCTGTCCTCGCGTGACCCCGCAGCACGACCACGCAGCCATCGTCACAAGACTCAGCCACTGATTGGTTTTGTTTTATTTTGTTTGGGGGCCACACCCGGTGGTGCTTAGAGGTTACTCCTGGCTCTGCGCTCAGGAATCACTTCTGGTGGTGCTCAGGGGACCCTATGGGATGCCGGGGATCGACCTGACACAAGACAAACACCGTCCCCATTGTACTATCTCTCTGGCCCCCCTCAAACATCTTTAGGGCATGCAGGACTGCGGTGCTAGAGATCTGCAAGTAGGGGTTCTGGCCATGGAGGAAGAGCCAATTTAGCGCAGCTTCACACGCGTCACTTCTTCTCAGGACTGTCCCCAGGGGTCAGCTGGGTCTGAGAGCGGGTCTGTGCCTGCCCAGAGAGCTGAGGGGCCCTGGGAAGGCTGAGATGTGCAGGTCCTCCATCCCCCTGTGAGAAGCAACCCCGAAATGCAGGCTGATAACCTCTGGGGGGGAAGCAGTGCCCAGGCGACCCATGCCCTGGAGTCTTGGGATGGTGCAGCCTCTGCAGAGCACAGCGGGTCAGGGGGACGGAACCCTGTGCCGTAGGCCAGAGGATTCGCTCCTGCCCTTCCAGCACTGACTTCTGGGGACCCAGGGTGTGCTCTCTCTCTCCTTTACTGCCTCCTCAACGTGGGAAGTGGGTTGACTCCATGCTTCTTTTTTTTTTTTTGCTTTTTGGGTCACACCCGGCGATGCACAGGGGTTACTCCTGGCTCTGCACCACTCAGGAATTACTCCTGGCGGTGCTCGGGGGACCATACGGGATGCTGGGAATCGAACCCCGGTCGGCTGTGTGCAAGGCAAACGCCCTACCCGCTGTGCTATTGCTCCAGCCTCTCCGCGCTTCCTTCCTTCCTTCCTTCCTTCTTTCTTTCTTTCTTTCTTTCTTTCTTTCTTTCTTTCTTTTTCTTTGTTTTTGGGATCACACCCAGTGGCTCTCATCAGGGCTTACTCCTGGAGGGGTTCAGGGGACCCTCTGGGGTAGCGGGGATTGAATCTAGGTCAGCCACGTGCCAGGCAAGCGCCCTCCCTGGCCGTGGAGGAAAAGCCAATTCAGCGCGCCTTCACACGCGTCACTTCTCAGGACTATCCCCAGGGGTCAGCTGGGGACAGTCCCGCCTCCCTCCAGCCGCGCCTGTTTCTTTCCCAGGGCGCTACTCACAGCCTTCTCACCTCCCAACACTTCTATACCGGGGTCCACCTTGGAGACGTACGGTGGGCAGGGACGGTCAAGCTGGTGGGTCCCCTCGGGCAGGGCTGACCCCGAGCTGATCCTGGGTTTCCGCTGCAGGGCAACCTTAGAGCGGCTGTCCTTGCATGGCACTCCTGCACTCCCTGTTTCAGTTCTGGCAGCTCTGACCCCTGCCCGACCCGCTCCAGGGCCGGTCCGCACCCTCCTGTGTGGTGCCTGTGACGTCATGAGCTGCCCACAGCTCCCTGTGACCTCACTCGCCACCTGGGCAACACAGCCCGGCAGGGCCAGGGCCACTGCCCCGAGCGTGGCCCTAGCGGCAGGGGGGGCCTAGATGACCACCGTGCCCTCGGGGGCACCAACACCCCCACCCATGGAGACGTGACCGGCCAGGGGCGAAGAGCCAGCACAGGGGGCGCAGTCAGCAGCCAATGGGGGTGTCGCAGAGTCAGCACGCCCTCCTTTCCGCCGAGGCCTCCCAGGACTGCCGGGGACCGCAGTCAGCTGACAGCCACTCCCACACCATGGCCTGCGCCTCCAGCACTTCAGGCCAGACCACCAGCTCACCTGACGTCTCAGAAGTGACCCTCGAGGACCAGGACAAGTGCAACAGTGACTCAGGGCTGGACCAGGACCCGCCGACACCCAACAGATCAAACCCGAGCATTCAGGACATGTCTGCAGACAAGGACAAGGGCAGGCGGAGTGTCCAGACTCTACCATCGCAGTTCCGCCTGATGGAGAGCACCACCACCCCGGAGGACATCATCGAAGGGGAGCCCGTGTCCGTTTCAGCTCCACCCAGCACTGTCCCTATCACTGCCCTCCAGGAAGCCCCCAGTGCTGGTTCCACGCTCAGTGCAGCTCCTGGCACTGCCCGCAGCACGGCCTCCACACCTGGAGTGGCTCCTGGCACTGCACCCAGCACAACCTCAGCGCCAGGAGTGGCCCGTGGTTCCTTTGTCAGTGCCAACTCTGCTCCTGGTGTGGCCCGTGGTTCCGTGGTCAGCACCGACGCCACACCTGGTGTGGCCCGTGGTTCCGTGGTCAGCACCGACGCCACACCTGGTGTGGCCCGTGGTTCCACGGTCAGCGCCGACGACGCACCTGGTGTGACCCGTGGTTCCGTGGTCAGTGCCGACTCTGCTCCTGGTGTGACCCGTGGTTCCATGGTCAGCGCCGACGTCGCGCCTGGTGTGGCCCGTGAGTCCTTCGTCAGTGCCAACTCTGCTCCTGGTGTGACCCGTGGTTCCATGGTCAGCGCCGACGCCACGCCTGGTGTGACCCTTGGTTCCGTGGTCAGTGCTGACGCCGCATCTGGTGTGACCCGTGGTTCCATGGTCAGCGCTGATTCGCCACCAGGTGTGGCCCGTGATTCCTTCGTCAGCGCTGACTCCATGCCTGGTGTGCCCCGTGGTTCCATGGCCAGTGCTGACTCCGCTCCTGGTGTGACCCGTGGTTCCGTGGTCAGTGCCGACGCCGTGCCTGGTCTGACCCGTGGTTCCGTGGTCAGTGCCGACTCTGCTCCTGGTGTGACCCGTGGTTCCGTGGTCAGCGCCGATGCCGCGCCTGGTGTGGCCCGTGATTCCTTCATCAGTGCCAACTCTGCTCCTGGTGTGACCCGTGGTTCCGTGGTCAGCGCCGACGCCGCGCCTGGTGTGACCCGTGGTTCCGTGGTCAGTGCTGACGCCGCGTCTGGTGTGACCCGTGGTTCCATGGTCAGCGCTGATTCCCCACCAGGTGTGGCCCGTGATTCCTTTGTCAGCGCTGACTCCATGCCTGGTGTGCCCCGTGGTTCCATGGCCAGTGCTGACTCCGCTCCTGGTGTGACTCGTGGTTCCGTGGTCAGTGCTGACGCCATGCCTGGTGTGGCCCGTGATTCCTTCGTCAGTGCCAACGCCGCTCCTGGTGTGACCTGTGGTTCCGTGGTCAGCGCCTACTCTGCTTCTGGTGTGACCCGTGGTTCCATGGTCAGCGCTGATTCCCCACCAGGTGTGGCCCGTGATTCCTTCGTCAGCGCTGACTCCATGCCTGGTGTGCCCCGTGGTTCCATGGCCAGTGCCGACTCCGCTCCTGGTGTGGCCCGTGGTTCCATGGCCAGCGCTGACTCCACTCCTGGTGTGGCCCGTGGTTCCGTGGCCAGCGCCGACTCCCCGGCTGGTGTGCCCCGTGGTTCCGTGGTCAGCGCTGATTCCCCACCAGGTGTGGCCCGTGGTTCCATGGTCAGCGCCGACTCCGCACCTGGTGTGACCCGTGGTTCCGTGGTCAGCACTGACTCCGCTCCTGGTGTGCCCCGTGGTTCCATGATCAGCGCCGACTCTGCTCCTGGTATGGCTCGAGGTTCCGTGGTCAGCACTGATTCCCCGCCAGGTGTGGGCCGTGATTCCCTCGTCAGCACTGACAACACAGGCAGGGCAGTCCGAGGTTCTGTCATCAGCACTGGCTCCTTAACTTCAGTGCTCCCTGACACTGCCCCCAGTGCTCATTCCATGGCCAGTGCGGCCCCCGGCGCTGTCCCCGGCAGTGTCTCCAGCTCTGCACCTAGTGCGACCCCTAGTGCTCAGTTCAAGCCGCATCCCGTCTCCAGTGCCACCACCTACCCCGTGGGCAGCACTGGCCCCAGCTCTCATGGGTTCCTGACCAGCGCTGTCCCCAGTGCAGCCTCCAGCGACGAGCTCGTGATCAGTGAAACCTGTGAGGTTGAGGCCATGCCTGAGTCCCAAACCCAGGTGGCCATGAGCACCACAGAGCTACCCGACCAGGAGCCCAGCCCTGCCCTGGACATGCAGCCGTCGGAGGAGTCCCAAGGGGAGCTGCCAGGGGGACCGGAGGCCTTCGAGGCTCCGGGCCCTGCCCCACCGCCCCTGAGCGGGGGATCCAGCTTCTGGGGGGTCAATGATGACAGCAGCTACATGCGCTCCATGACCAGCCTGCTGGGAGGTGGCGAGGGTGCCATCAGCTCCCTGGCGGACATCCTGGTGTGGTCAGAGGCCACCATGGGCATTGCCACCGGCTTGCTGACGTCCGGCCACGGGCAGTTCACTGACTTTCTGCACAGTCGGAGCGCCCGCCTGCACTCCGTGTCCAGCATCCTGGGCCACGCCAGCTCGGTCCTGCACGCCCGGCTGAACCAGGGCACCAACGCGGCCCTGCGCTGTGCCACCCGCGTGCTGGAGACCGTGGAGCAACGGACTGTGAACAGCATCCGCTCGGCCATTCGCTATCTGAGCAACCACCTGAGCTCGGAGCAGGCGGGCTGCAACTAGGCTGGTCCAGGGCGCCCCCCTCCCCCCACCACCTCCACATCATCCACCCCTGTCCCAGACGGCGGGGCAATAAAGACCTAGAGAGCGTTTATTTTCTAAGCCGCCTGCCTTTTTTTTCTTCCTTTTTTGATTTTTTGGTTTGTCTTGGGGGGGGGGGGCACAGAGAGTGAAGTTATTCCTGGCTCTGTGCTTGGGGGACCCTGTGTGGTGTCAGGGTTCGACTGCATGCCAGGCAAACGCCTTACCTGCCGTTCGGCCCCTAAGTCACCTGCCTTCTCCCACCCCATGCGGAAGACTTGGATGTTCTGGAAGCTGGGATGCTCCGGAAACCAAAAGGGGTCCCCGATGGGGGTGTTGTAGATCAGGCTGTACCCCTCAGGGGTGAGTCTTTTAGGGGCTGGGGTGAAAAGGGCAAGAAGAGAGGAGTGGGGGGGTGTGGGGGTGGTCTCAGACTCAGCCAGGAACTGAAAAGGTGATGCTGGTGTCCTGTCCATGGGTGGGGTCCAGCCTGCCGGCCAGGGGGCGGGTCCAACTGGACCCC